GCTCATGTCCAGTAATCACTGTGCGAGGGGCGGGGTACACCCTGGACGGGTCGCAAGTCCATCACAGGGCCACATAGAGACAAACGAGACAAACAACCATTCACTCTCTCACTCACACCTAGGGACAATTTAGAGTTACCAATCAGCCTAACATGCATGTTTTTGGTCTGTGGGAGGAAACCGGAGCACCTGGAGAAAACCCACGCATGCACGGAGAGAACATGCAAACTCCACCCAGAAAGGCCCCGGACCAGGATTTGAACCAGGGACCTGCGCTCTGAGAGGCAGCAGCTCTACCAGTTGCGCCACCGTGTGCCCAATTGATAAACCAGATTTTGAAAAAGTGGGCGTTGCTTGTGGAGTACCCCAAGGCTCAATTTTTGTTCCAGTTTTATTTCGTCTTCATACACTCCCTCTACATCCTGTATGTCATGTAGAATTTAAACTATAATTACAGTCCGTACTTCTACAATTGACTAAATTTAGGAATAAATCCAAATCAAGATGAATTCTACAGCAAAAGCAAATGTTTAAAACAATGACAGTGTTACAAATATATGCTTATGAAGATTCTCAGTCATCCAGGACACATGGTAAATTCAAAAAGGTTCAAAACAATAAAAAAAAAAAAACCTGGACTTTATTTTGTTCTTATTTTATTTTGTTTTGTAACGTCTTCTGTTACAAAATAAAGTCCACTTGTTTTTGTCTTGAACCTTTTTTGACGTTAAAGATATAAAGCTAAAATGGGTAGGGTAGTAGCTAAGAGTCATTCCCAACACATACCTGAATTACAGACAGAAGAAACAAAATCATTGTTCAAAACTTTGTTGTAAAGTGAATGCCTTTAAAGGTTTTTAGTATTTGACTAAATTCGCCTTTCAATGGTCTCAAAAGATTAAAAAAAAAATCTTTCAAAAGTAAGTATTATTTTCAAGTTATACACTGTAACATTTCCCCAGTTACCCGAAGAGAGCAATCCACGCTTTTCCATTGAGGACCATGGCCTCAGATTAGGAGGTGCAGATTCTCATCCCAGCCACTTCACACTTGACAGAGAACCGCTCCAGTGAGAGTTGAAGATCCCAGTACGATGACAGCAACAGGACCACATCATAGACGGCTATGGCTGAGTGGTTAGAGCAGTCGTCCTCCAATGCAAGAGTTGGGGGTTCGAATCCACCAGCAGTCACATGCTGAAGTGTCCCTGGGCAAGACACTGAACCCCTCATAGCCTCTGATGTGTGTCCCATCAGTGTATGAATGTGATAAAGCTCTGATTAGTCTGTTTAGAATGATTTGTTCAATTAGCTTTGTAGAGATCTAGTAGAGTGCTGTATGAATGGGTAAATGAGGCACAGATTGTGTTGTAAAGAGCTTTGAGTATCTTGAAATAAGATAGAAAGGTGCTATATAAGTACAGTCCATTTAACATTTACATCATCTGCAAATAGCAGAGAAGGAATCCTGAGGCCACCAAACCGGAATCCCTCTGCCCCCTGGCTGCAACAAGAAATCCTGTCCATAAAAGTTATGAACAGAATCGGTGACAACTGGCAGCTCTGCTCGAGTCCAAGTCCCACCCTGAAGAGGTCCGACTTACTACTGGCAATGTGAACCAAACTCTTGCACCGCTTGTACAGGGACCGAACAGCACATAGCAATGGGTCCCCAATCCCATACTCACGGAGAAACCCCTGCAGTTAAGAATTTGAATCAGAATCAGAATAAACTTTTTTGTCATTTCACAGTTAAGCACAGCAAAAATACATTCGAGTACAACCTCCCAATATGGGTAGACGAAAGTGCACGGAGGCTGCAGCTTCGCGTGAAGTGCTGTCCTTATCACTTAGATAAGAAAAAGGTATAGAAACATGAAGAAAAAAGGTATTAAAACAAAAATTCTTATAATGTGTCCTTGACACACAGGGCACAGTGTAAGGTAACAAAAACTACCTCAGCACAAGCAACATAGATGTAATGTTTTTATACTACTAGTGCTTAGTGTATACTTAGTTGATGTTTTTCTT